AAAGAATTCACTTTTTTCGTATACACATTTTCTTTTTAATTTTACTTTTTTCAGTAACCATTATTTTAAATTAAAATAACTACTTTTCACTTCTATCTTATAAATGACCGTTAATTTACATTTCATTATTTTTTAAATTAAAATAATTACTTTATTCTTTCAAATCAATATTTATTTAAGTTCAGTTATTTTTTGAATTAAAATAATTATTTACGATAAAAAAAACACAAACAAATATGCGTAGTATGTTTACAATAATGTGTACATATAAGTATAAACTTTATTACAATTTTAGGTTTCAGTACGTAAACTTGTGTCATTTATTAAGAATAATATAATGTTGGTCTATCTTGTATAATTAAGAAGGATAAAGAAAACACAGTTAAATTTAGGAGTGATAGAATAAATTAAATTAAATATGAGTTTTGGTTATGCAGGTTTCAATACAAATGTTACTGCTCATAATCCAAACAGTGGGGGCAGAGTGTACGGTAGAGTTCATATGTCCCTTGTTTCGGCACTAACCACCATGGCCTTCATTGCCACATTTGCTGTGTGACACTTTTCTCAGTCTTATGGAAATGGACATTTAGTTTAATGATGTTGAGTTTCATTATTTTATCTGTAATCCATACAAATAAATAAACCAGTGGTGTAAAAATATATGTTATATAACACATATTTAACTATAACCAGGATTACTTCCTATAATCTATGTTCGTGCAAGTAAATTTTGCATTCTGAACTAATTAATTAGAAACTATTTTCATATAGTTTTTCTTTCTAAGTAAGAGTTTAATAATTAATGTCAAAATTTGTATTACCAATTAATGAGAGATGATTTTAGTATGAATTTATTGTGATTAGTATAAATATTGAATATAAAATTATTTATATTCTCGCTCTAATTAAAATAAAGAAAACAAATCGGCATTATAGGTATATTTGACGAAATAAATAGTTCCCCTTTACTATTTTTCCTTTTGATTACAATGTTTAATTGCGGTAGTACAACACAATTTAAATAATTTTTGGACTTAAATACTTTTTTCATATATATAGAATATTTCAGTAAATTTTAGTTGCACTCTCTTTTTTTTCAAAAACTAACAGAAACACATGTTGCATTTGTATATCCAAATGCTTTATTATATTAAAATAATATAATTTTAATATATATATATATATATATATATATATATATATATAACACGATAAAAAATCATTAAAAAACAACTAAATCAAGAAACAAAAATAATTATAAAATTAAAAACTATTTTATAAACAAAAATTATTAGTATCTAAAACAGTTTTTACTTTTTAATAAGAATATAATTGTTTTCTAAATTATAGTCTAAATTAAATATTAATAATTTTTAACTTATAAAATATTTTCTAATTTAGTGAATAAATATGATTCTTATTTTAATGATATTTGTGAAGTGGAAAAATATATTGTTACAGATTGAATAGAGAGATTATAAGGCCATTAAATAAGAAAACTTTTTATTTCTTAAGGAAGATCTCTAGGTCCTGTTCTACAACTTAGGACATGAACTAAATTGTTTTGGGACTTCTTATCCCCACAAATTTCTTACTGAACTTCCAAATTTTTTCTATGATACTCATTTTAACCCTCAACATTATATATTTTATATTAAATAATTAAATAAATATTATTTATTGTTTTTACCTAACCCCCCTAAACATTATTTATTGTCACTGTCCACCTCTTAACGTTTTAATATTATTTACTCTTCCACTCACTATAAACAAAATAAAGAATTAAACTTTAAAAAAATAAAAATTAAAAAAAAAAACTAAATCTTGAAATTTAGTGTATTATCTTAACTGAAATTTAAAATCTAATAACCATAATAAATCATACAAAATCAAATTTTGAAATTCGTTAACTAAATTTTGAAATTTGATATAAAAAAACATAATACCAAATTTTAAAATTTGATACATCAATAAAATTATGCTTAATCAGACTCATTCAACCATATTTTGAAACTTAATAAACACTAAAAGCAAACTAAATTTCACAATCCAATAAAGAGATCAATTCACAAAACAAATTTCAAAATCCAATGCAAATATCAATCTCAGCAAAATAATCGAATTTTCAACTCTAGTACACTTCACCGAAAATGTCATCTGATTCTAATATATCTTATCAAACGCCATTGCTGTAAAGCATAAATTGGTGAAAGAGATAATATTACAGAGAATTACTGATACAAGGAAGCCATAATCATTTATTTCCACCTTTTAAAATGAATTTGTGTGTTTTATGTGTACTGAACATTAATATTTTACAATTATCAGAATATCATCAGAGAAATATTTTCAACTCACTAAAAGACAAACTCTTCACTGGACTCATTTCTCTTCACAAAATTTGGGAATTGAAATTAAAATTTACTTATAATAAGCACCAATGGTCGTTGAACACCATTAAAGGGACACCAATAATTCCTTCTTTACTTTTTGAAAACCACTTTTTTTAATGTATATATTCTAAATTTAAAGTAATCTTTTTTTTAGAAATTTATAATTTTTAACTTAATTATACTTTAATAAATTTAAAAAATAAAATATTTTTAATACATGTTTATTTTCTACAATCTATTAAAATAAAATTCGAATTATAATTACAAAATTATTCGTTTTTATATATTTTTATCTCTCATTTACATAATATTATATATATATATATATATATATATATATATATATGATTATTTTTGAAAAGGCAGTATTTTATGTATATGCCATTTATTTCTCACTGTCACATTTATAAAGTTAGTGAAAGTACATCTACCAATGGGTTGGTATGCACAATGCAAGGAAGAAAAAACAATTGATTATTGATTCTTTCAAATTTAGATTTGAGGGGAGAATGTTATAAGGGCAATATTTGGAAATTCGGCTTTTTTGAAACCCGCTTTTGTGAATTTATGTGTTTATTGAATTGTGAAATTCAATATATTTAGGGTATTTTTCAGATTTTGAAATCTGGTTAAATAAAATATCTGAATAAATATTTTAAATTATGAAATTTGATTAAAAATGGTTCTGTGCATGCACCAAATTTTAAAATTTTATTTGATTTTTGCTGGTAATCAAGTTTTAAAGAGAAGGTATAAATTTAAAAAATTTTAAGTTTAATTCTTTGACGTGTTAGAATGGGAAGAAAGGGAATAAGTTACTTGGGATGTACAGTAAAGAGTACATAATGTTAGGGAGTAGTAATGAGAATAAATAATGTTACAGTGGTTAGCAGTAGTAAACAACCTTTACCTATTATTTAATATAGATTATTTAATGTGTAGGGTGGGAAAGAAGCCCCAGTTGCTTTTCACCCTACAAGTTTGAGGCATTTGGACTATTAAGACTATACACTATTTATTTTCATTCAATAACTAAATTTGGTTGTTGAGATTAAATGAAACAAGCTATTCCCTAATGGAATTTGAATTTACTGTCTCACTAGGTCCTGTAAACTTTTACCATTAACGGTTTTTTTTTTTTAAGAGTTTGAGAGGAGTATTCGAAGGAAACATTTTTTGCTTTTTCTTCTTATATTTCCATAATTCTTCATTTTATAATTTTTAGAATGATTAATTTATCCTTTTGAAGGTGGCTTGTGAATAGTTTCTGAAATGATTCTTTCAAAAACAATTTTTTCTAAATTTTCAGAATATAATTTTTATTATAAGATTTCTATAACAGACTTTTAGAACCAAAAATTTTCAGAAATAATTTCTGAGACATATAAATTACATTTCATAATGAGTTTTCTAGAACAGAATTTCTTTCTAGAACAACTTTTCCAATGTTCTATGAAATGAACTTTCAAGGATAAACTTTTGGAAACAAATTTTCTAGAACATATAAAATATATTTCAGATCTTCAGAACAAAATTTTCAAAATAAAATTTTCAAAATAAAATTTCCAAAATAGTTTTTAAAGTGTGATGGCAGCCACAACGACAGCAATCCAACAGTGATGATGTGGTATAACAAGGAAGGATAATATAGTCTTCTTGGTTCGAATAAAAGGGTGCAGTTAGAAATCATTAGGGTGCAGGAAAAAAATGGTCTTGTAAATCTTAACACCTAATCATCAAATTCTAACAATATAAAACGATAGAATTAGATGGCTCATCATAATAAAGGGATAAAATGTTGGCTCATCATAATAAAGGGATAAAGTTCATTGAAAACTAAAAGCACCTCTATAACGGTGCTCCATTTCAGTGTTCGTTACAAGGTACCTGAATTTCATTAAATTAAGAAAAAAAAATTGCACAAATACATGGATGGATCATAGTTGACTTGGTTGACTAAACTGTAATTAAGTACATATTAAAAGCAACCAGAAAAACAAACTTGGAACTAAGAAACATGTTAGTTTGGACAAGAAACTAAATGGGAATCAAGTTAAGATTTTTGCGTACGTTAAACCATTACTTTAGTTTTTGCATGTGTAAGTCGAATGCAGTTTATCCCCTGAACAAAAAGGGAATTAAAACAAAGTCCCATGTTAATAACTCATAAATAACACAATTGAAGACATTCGTGTTGCACAATACCAGGCATGTCCTAGTTGACCTCTGACAAACGTCCATGTGTCACCATTCAAACAAACATTTTTACTTCACAAGTTTCTATGTACGAAAATGAACAATGTAATCTCTTCACCGGTTTCTCCCTAGGCTTCTTCTCCACTCCCTCGACAACCAAACCAGTAAACAATCAATAAGTGGAAAAATTCTGGATTTTCTGGTTTTACAAGTGATTTCATTTAATGACGACTACCATACACAGGCGGCTACTCACTCCTTTTGGTCGAGATATTGGGAGGTTTTCTATCACAGTACCCTCACCACTATATGGTGTATGCAAATTATCCAAAACATATAAAATGAAAAGTATAAACTTAAATGCTAATAACATCAGGGATTTTCTAAATGGAATGAAGATTCGCGATGTATGACAATCTTTTTAAACTAAAGAATTATTATACTTGCACCCAAGACACAAGATATAACAATATTCACTCTAAAGATACCGTTACCGCAACAAACTCAATTGTAGGACAAGAGATACATCATTACATGGGCAAAACTTTCATAAAAAGGTTCATCTCCTCAGCCAGTTACGATTATTAAAGTAGGACCAATCATGTTCCCGTGTTCCTTCGGCCAACACGAGCAACAAAACCAGCCTTGATTGGAGCAACCGATCGTCCTGATCCACACTGTAAGAAATAAACCAGAATATGATATTTAATGAGAAAATGTAAAAATGTGACCAACACAAGAACATTTTTTCAGTATTACATAAATTTCTTCAACCAAAAATTAATAATGATCAGGGTTGGTAAAAAATATCCTTAATCATTATGATGAGAAACCATTGATCAAAAATAGGATGAAGTGGCAATCAAAATCCGTAGGTGCAATTGGATGTCCACTTATTGGTTGTAAAAAAATAAAATTGGAATATTACAACACTACCATCACCCACGCTACATGAAATAGATTTCCAAGTTTACGCAAATCATTATAAACTCTATAAAATGCTAAAGGTATATAAAAGCTTGAAAGGTATTAAATAAAATAAACCATCTACAAGAAACCATCATGTTTGAAATATGATTGTTTCTAGGTGGGTAAGAAACTTGGCGTGAAAACTAGAATAGGAAAAAGAAAAATAAGGCGGGTAAAGAAAATTAACCTTTTCACACCGGAGAAAGAAGAGACGATTCTCCTTCGTAAGTATGGTATCTGGGCTCTTGCATCCAAGGCAAATGACATACTCATCTGACAAAAACAAAATTATGATCAACTTCACCTTATATAAATCTGAATGGGGGAGTTTTAAAGTTCCTGTCTTGGTAGGCTGCATGTGATAAAAAAACAGCCAAAAACGCCAACACAACAGAACTTTCATACCTATACGAATCTTCCATTTCTGAAACACAACAAATAATTGAAATTCAAAACGAGTACTTACTGACATATCGTCGCAGAATTCCTTCAAAGTTCTTTGGTGCAAACCTTCCCTTAACAACCAATCTCTGCTGTCCGTCAAGCGATCCACTTGTACCCAACTCAGCCAGCAAGAAAGCCATGACATGGTCAGGCTGCCGATGCATTCTAAAAGATTGCATAAAAGTACATTAAGAAAACAGATATTTATATTATGTACAATCTATTCTTATTAAAAGACATAATGAACAATTTTGTAGAAAGTCTCACTCCATATTTCCAGGCATTAATAGATTGGACAAGCATTTTGAATTCCTAACAGGAAAGGTTAATTCCAAGAAAAATGAAAACTAAAGGTTTTAAACATATGCCTTTTAAAATCCATTCCCCCTATAATTAACAAAACTGATGAAATTAAACTATCATAAAATATCAGTATTGCCATACTAATGGACCACAAGTTCTGTAACAGAAACTGAAAGGGGGAGGTCATTCAATGCCGGATACTAGAGCTCCTCAAGAAACTAACTCTCAGTTCAAAGACTGACACATACAATATATCTAATTCCTATCTTTCCAATTACATAGAAACAGAACTAGCTCCTCCAATAAATTTCTCTGCATGGCAGTTTTTTCTTCAATAACTGCCTCACACAACATTTAATTTGCCAAGTAACTGCCCAACATGGAAGTTCACAAGCACTTTCTGTTATTCCTACAGTAAACCTGACGATGGTGAGCTTGGGTTTAGATTCAGCAACTGATCCTCCTCCAACCCAAAAAAGTCATGGACCGTATCATACATCACAAATGGTGTGTCCGTGTTCAATTGAATGAATAATAAAATTAAAATTGAAATAACAGACAGACAGAAACCATGCCTAGTGTGTAGCGAACTCTCATCATGTCACTCTATACTATTAAGCATTTTGAATAAAATAGTAACATACGTTTTGCACAGATCCATAAAATTCACAAACACAGTTTTCTTTGTGCCTTCACGAAGAACCTGAGGAGGCCTCATTACTGTCCTTCGCCTGTCTCCAGCAAGTTCAGGATTATTCTCCCGAAGAATGTTAAACACTCTGCCAAGAAGCTGCTCGAAAAAATCCAGAATCCATAAGAGATATATGTAAGGGAAGAGGCATGCAAGACAAGGAGTTTCCAGGTAAAGGCATTACAGAGTATAATAAATGCTTTTGCCAATATTTTAAGGATTTATACCTTGACCCTATCAAAATAAAATTCCACAATGGTTCACGGTTTATAGAAAACTGACATTTCTGGATCCAAGAAGGATAAAACAGTAAAAATCCCTTTACGATCAGATGTATTACAGAAGCATAGACCATATTACACTTACAGAAAAATGAATATTACCATGATAAAACTTTCAAGCATATAAATGAATCTGGAGCATAATCAATACACCCTAATATCAACCTAATAAAACAATGTTGAGAAATCAGGCAGGTGTACAAAATAAACAATTAGAACTATGGAAGAAAATTTAAATAAACTCAAATATTTTCCAACAAAATGATGAAAAAAATACCATGAAAGAAAGTTTCACATTAACATTTAAACTGAGAGGTCATATAGCAGTGTAGGAGAAAAATACTTAAATGTGACAAACCTCCTCGTATTCATAATCACGATCACTCCCTTCCCAAGGATAACGAGCCTGAGGAACAACCATTTCTCCTTCATCCTCTTCAGCATGATCTAAAAGAAAAAGTTTACCAGATATTAAGTGTTGAATAAGCTCCCATCAAAACATACATTTAGAGCAAATACTACTCTACAATTCACAAAAACAATATTTACACAGGTATATGCTACTGACCATCCAAATCTTCAATTGCATCTCCGCTCTCATCATTCAAGTTACTCATTTCAACCTATAATCAAACATCAGGTTTCAAATTGTTTCCAAAAAAACTAGATACATGAAAAACAATCTCTGAAGAGGTATAATTATCCAGGGGAAACAAAAACACCACATTAAGCATAAATATAGGATGACTTACAGGCTTCTTCTTTTTCTTTTTCAAACCAGTAAATGCAGCCTCAACCCCATCAGAAACTGCAAATTCAAAATAAATGAGAAGCATACCTATGCACAATAGCCAGATAGAACTGAAAATAGAACCAGAGGAGGAAATTACTTGTATTATTTTTGCATACCTGTGAGGTTTTCCGTCTTCTCAGCCAATTTCTCCACGGGGTCATCAGCAGGATCTACAATTGTAATTTTCTTTTTCTTCTTCTTTTTGGTAGGGTCAAAGGGTACAATCTGTGATTTATAAATTCAGGTATCAGATGATGGTACTGCTACAACAAACAGAAATCTCAACTAACAAACCTGATCAACCGAAATATGCAACACATGATCATCATAACAAATAAGCAATACAAGAATAAAGTGAAAAAAAAACTGATTTTTAGGCCTAATGCCCAATAAACGAAAACACAAGCGGGAAAGCATTTTTTAAATTATAGATAATTAAGGGGTCAATGAACTCACTTCTGGAATCTCCTCCTTCAGTTCATTTTGTGTTTCATCCGCCATGATTGCTGCAACACATAAAATAAAATTTTCTTAATAAGTAGAGAATCAGGAAGGCATACAAAAAACGAGTGGAACAAAACAAAAAATTAAGGAAGGTATTAACAAAATCAATTTCTTAAAAAAATTGAAACTTCATCAAAGCATCACTTATAAATAGGAAACCCATAACACACTTTGTGCTAGTTGAGAATGTCCTTAACTCCCATGTGCTGTAAAACAATAGTTGAAAAACGGAAAAATTAGAAATAAAGAAAGTGAAAGGGAGCCCTTGATGATTGAACAGTTGAATCCTAAAAAGAAGCAAGTAGTACAACCTAATTAAACATAACAAAAAACCAAAACCTCCATCGTTAATGCACAACGAGAATCTTATCAAATCGAGCACGAGAAGCAAGAGGAAGCTTAATCTACAGAAATTACTAAAAACACAGATCCAAACGCAACTACGTGTTCCTTTTCATTAGCTTATTGTGCGCTCTAAACAGCTTTAAGAAAGCGATTAGTTCGCCCTATTTTTCAAAACCTAGTACGCCGTACAGAAGCGAAAAAGGAATTCCAGAAACACACATCGAAATGGATAGCTAGAAATGGAAGAAGAAATACAATAATCGACACCGATTTTGGACATCGAGTTGCGGAAAAAACAAAAAATCAAGTGAAATTTATTAGGTACAAACATCAACGAACAGAAACAAAAAAAAATGAGAAAAATATTAGGAATAGATATTAGATAATCGAAAATGATTAGGAACCTGATAGCGCAAAGAAAAGCTTTGGAGTGAGGGCAGAGATAATGGAATCCCTGGAGACAAGATTGCGGCCGGTGGTCGCGAAATGAAAAACCCTTTCTTTCCCCCACAAAACTCAGCGCTGCACTACCTCTTCTCTTTTCCTTCTTCTATGTTTGTGCATCTTGTATGGATATTATCGGGCTTCGATTCTGGGCTTCTCAATGGACCTACGCAGCCGATTAGTGGGCCGTTGGACGAACAGGGCCTCCACTCTGGACCCAAAATAGCTTAATGGATAAAATATGAGAGTTACTCCCTACACCACGTCAGATTCTTTCTGTACCATCACATTTTTTTTAAATTTCAAAATTATTTTTTATATTTTAAAATATCCTACACCATCGTCCTTTTCTTAAATGGATGTGGACATCTGTTGAAGAAAAAAAAATTTCAACAGATGTACCAAAACTGTTGAGTTTCTTTTTTTTTTCTAGTTTTTAGTATTTTAATTTATTGTATTTGAAATTAATATATAAATTTTATTTAATTTTTATAAAATTATTAAATAATTATTTATAAATTAATTTTATTTTATTTAATAAAATAATAATTATTAATTTAATTTATGTATTATTATTTAAATAATAATCAAAATATTTTTAAAACATTTATTAAAAGGGATGTGCCACATCCGTGATGTGACCCGTTATAGTTTTTATTTTTTTAGTTTTTATTTTTTTAGTTTTTTATTTTTTAATTTATTATATTTTAAATTAATATATGAATATTATTTTTTTTTTTAAATTATTACTTAATTATTTATAAATTAATTTTATTTTATTTAATAAAATAATTATTATTAATTTAATTTATGTATTATTATTTAAATAATAATAAAAATATTTTTAAAAAGTTTATTAAAACGGATGTGCCACATCCTTTAACGGATGTGACCACATCCATTGAAGATTTTTTTTTTTAAATAAATACAATAAATCAAAATATAAAATATGTAAACGGATGTTAATATTCGTTCACGGATGTCAATATTCGTTGAAGATGAAACGAATGTTGACATCCATTTTAAAACAAAGACAAAATAAGTATGAAATGATGTAGGGAGCGTTAGAGAACAACTGTCATAAAATATTTATCCATGAAAACCAGTTGGTCATAAAATAAAATAGAAGGAATAACAATACTCACCATTCACAGTAACATTTTTAATCTATCTCTTGTAGAAAGAAGTTAAAAACAAAGACTTGAACGAAAGGAACAATTCAAAGTTTCTATGTAAATATTCATATTTAAAAAAAAGTAGTTTTTTTCGCTTTATTATCAATGCATAACCTATATTTAAAACATAGTTAAATTAACTTTTAGTTCCTAAACTCATATGTAAAATTATAATATGTTAATATCTTAAACTTTGATATAATTTAATATTTAAATTTTTAAAATAAATAAATATAATCATTATAATTCAATTACAGAATTTTTTTAGGTGTGGAACAGTATTTTAATATGACATTTGAACAGTTTAAATCATTTAATATTCTAACATAAATATTAACTTAAAAATGCGGTCGCTGTGGTGAAAAGAGACACATATTTACCTTTTTGAGATTCCGAAATTACCCCTCTGTGCACCCTTCATTTTCAACTCAGATTTCATTCTTCTCTCCCTCTTCATTTCGGTCTTCTCTCCAACCTAGTATAGTAGTCTAAAAATTATGAATTTGTAGTCATTTGAAAACTCTTTGAGTCTAGATTCCAACAAAATAACAATCAACTCATTTTGAGTTCGGTAGAGAAAGTTAGGAGCAAAACAAGCAGCAAAGGTATGAAAAACAAAGTTGGAGATTGTTGTTCATCCAGCTGGGAAGTATAGTTGAAGGTTCTGCACAAATGACCATTTTTCCTTTGGTAATCGATTACAAGACCCTTGTAATCGATTACGAGGGCAGAAAATGGACAAAAATGCTTATGGAGCTCATCTAACTTACATGAAAGCACCTAAATCACATTTTTTTCTCAACAAGTGTAAATTGGTGAAGTAAACACCAACCATGATTAATAAACTCAATCATCCATCACAAAAAGTGGAAAAAATCGCCCAAAAACACAGAAAAACTATAACAAAATTGAAATTGTATTAATCAAAATTGAAATTTTATTGATATAATATTTAATAAGTACATATTATCCATCATTTTTAATGTCTTTTTCTACACTAAGAAGGTTTACAACTCTCACACAATCAAAATCTCTACACAACAACTCAACGTCCTATAATAATTGTAAGTTCAGCAACACTTGTTCTCTTCACACGTTGTCGTTGTCTAGAATCCAGTCACTTACATATTTTTGTTTAAATCCGAACAATTCCTCCTGAAATCAACACAATCAACTTAAAGATATTACCACAACACTGAAACCATCAACACATTCATCAAGTCTTTTAACAAATGTAGTGTTACTTAACAATGGTGCTACAAATCTTGACATTGCGAAAAGTCGAAACCTTAAAGAAAGGACACATCTTTAGTCCTTGATGGACATCAGGACAATGGGGAAGAGGTCGACTGTGCTTTGGTGGAGAGGACAACGAGAAAAAGCCGCCAACAAAAGAGGAAGAGACGAAGAAAAGGGAAAATATGCTTCGGTAGAGAGGAAGAGTGAGACATAGAAACAATCCGGTGAGATTCTGGTGAAGACACAGTGAGACCAATGGTGGAGAGAGATGGGAAAGAGAGAGAGAGAGTGAGACCACAAATGAAAATAAATGTTTGCTTCCTGAGATGAAACTGTGAAAAGGAAAAAAGCAGTTTCTCTCTGCCTTCCCAAAATACCCTCAACGTACGTTTCATTTTGGAAAAGTTATGAACCAATTGTCATCTGTCGCGTGGTCAAAAAATTGACAAATTTTGGTTGTTAAAGAAACTTTATCCTAATAATTATTAATAAAATGAATACTTTGAGATCAATATATATTTATTTTGTCTCTTATATATTGTTTATGAAGCTAATTTTAAGTTTAACATTTTTACAGTAATAAATTATGGAAATTAATATTCTTGCATGTTATAAAATACAACATAAATTAAAATTAAAATGCTCCCAAGTGAGAGAATTAATTAAGCCTGAATTATTGAAAGGGAAAATTCCACCACAAAACTTGCATGTATGTAGAAAAAGAAAAAAAAATGTTAAAGAGAAGGAAGGACAGCACATGGCAATGACTAGAAATAAAAAATAAAAAAATTGAAGTAAACTAAAGACATGTTACAACTTTCACCGACGAATTCATGGCATGTGTTCACTCTAAGATGCAACCTACCCAAAGTCAAGCTCCAATAAATATTCTCACCAGAAGTTGCAGTAGGTAAAACCATATTAGTTGTCTCCTTCAAAATTCAATCGCATCTAGAAACTCCATTCCTACTTTTCCATCTTCTAAATTTCATGTCTTCCAATTCACATACACTATTTTTTTATTTTTTTTCTTAAACATAGCACACAATTATTATTATGAAACATTTCCAGTGTTAGTTATGAGTTGCATGTTTCTTAATCTAAAAGTATTTAGATTTCTCCAAGACATTTACTTTTTTAATAGATTATATAAATTTAAAATTAAAACTTTGACTATATATTTAAAAGATAAAAAAATATTTTAATTATATCTTGTTACATCCATCAATTCTCATAAAATATTAGGTTTGGAGATTTAGATGGGCCCTGGTACTGTTGGGCCAGATTTGCATGGGTCTAGATCTGTGGACCTAGCAAAATCCATTTATAGGCACAGTTTGGTACTAATATTATGATACATTTCCTCAGAGATTGACTTTGAAAAATAGTTTAGAAGACACCATGGACAATGTGGAACTTCAATATTAGCTTGCGTTTCTTATTTTGCTCTAAAAGTTCAATTCTACCAAGTAACTAAGAACTACAACACATGCAACATTCCAACTAATAATGATGTTTTACAAGAGAAAAAAGTTAAATGTGTTTTTTAGCTTAATCACTCTTTTAATTAACATTGAAATACAGAATAAAAACATATTTTTAATATAAAAAAAAACAAATTATGAGACTTATGTTGAACATGGTATCACTTCTGTGGTATTAAGGTGAAGTCCACTCCTAATTACTGCATAATATATATATATATATATATATATATATATGTATGTATGTATATATAAAGTGTTGACCGTGGTGTAAGTGTTAAAGCTGTAATCAAATAAACCTGACATTTAATTCCACCTAAGTCACTGGTATATCCAGAGTGCACATGCAAGGAGGCCATATATTCAACATAATTGAAGTACACTAATTATTACAAATATATCTGCTCATAATTTTTTCTAAAATAATAAATAAAAACAAATTATAATGACATATTTTGCTCGCATTAATTTCTTTTATCTCTTCTTACTGCGCTCTTAAAATCACTTTTAAATTTAATTATTAATTATTTTTTAATAATTAATCAAACGGTTTATACCTTTCCATAAAATTTATATAAATTTAAATTATGAAACATGATCCGAATATTAATTTAACGGAAAACGTTTCTCAATTTGTGGAACTTTTAAACCGTGATTTTTTTTTTTCAAAACAACAGTATTTACAAAAGTGATTTTTAAATAATGCGTTGCTCTCAATATTTATTAACCACAGTCTATTTTATAAATTTTATAAATTTTGAAGTTAGTCAATCCAGTACTAACTCATGAATTGAGTTAAAACGAAAGTTTACTTTTTGATGCAGTAGAAATTTGTGAACTATCTTGATCCAACACCAATTTAATTTATTTTATATATTTTTATTTATTACAGTATGACCAAAATAGATTGATTTGACTCTTTCTTATTAGATTATCAGTCAACCTACCTTCAACTTATTTAAACTACAAATTTTATGAGATCAGATTAGCCTAAGGTTTTAAACTGATTTTGAGATGTATATTATTTGAAATTAGAAATGAAAATTCATAAGGTGAAGATATAAAGTAGTGTGAGTAGAGGCATAAACTTGGTAAATGTTGTTTAGAATTTGAAAGGGATAAAGTTGCATGGAATTGGACCTCTGCTTGACTTGTGTGACCAAATATGTGGTTAGCTGAAGGCCCATTTTAAGATTCAGCTCCCCTTCCATTCCACGTCCTA